CGAGGAACAAATTTCAACAGTTCAACAAGCAATTGACAATCACTGAAAAGTATGTTCAAAGGTTGGTTCCACTTTTTTTTACTTATTCAACAGTTTCTTGCTATATTACTGCAAACAACAACTCTCTCTTTCCGCCTGTTGATGACAATATGACAACCGCTGAAATGACAAAGTACTGACTGATAGTAGAAAAAAAAAAAAACTGCTACTAAAACTATTGGTTTATTTAATTATAATTAAAGAAACTGTTAACGTATTGAAAACACTGAAAAAAAAAAAAAGCCTTAATTTTTGCCTTAACTTAATTTACCATCAAATATACATTTAGTGAACTGACAATATAGCGAAAAATAAAATAAATGCTGAAAAATTACTGCTTCATCATTTCCAAAAACATAGCGTTGTCCTAGACACAGCATACCACTTTTGATCTAATAAATAATATTTGCTCTTAAAATGTTTGATCAATTTTAATGATCCTTTTTCAGCAACTTCAAACAAAGTTAATGCAAAATTACCCGGTGAAAACGAAACCACCTATCCATGTTCCAACTGTGGACGTAGATTTATTCAGGCTAGTTTGGTGAGCTTTTTATTTGGGTTGATTTTAGCAATCAAAATTCCATCCATACAGACAAAGTTCAATTTTGTCATTTTTGCAAATTTCAACTTTGAGTAACGAACTGTTCAGAAGTAAACTGATTTTTTAGTGAGAAGAAAACTCTTTATTGCTAAAGCCACTGTCAAATGCCACAGACTACAAAAAGCTAAGTCTTGTAGGCAAAACATGAACCTGTTTGCAAAAAAATAGGCAAAAAACGAAAAGTATTTGATTCTGGCAAGCAACGAGCCACCGGTAGCGATATAACACTTCAGAATGTTCGAAAAGCTGAACGAGAACGACAGTTAGTAAGTGTAACTATAATCTAAGACTGTAATTTAACTGTACGCTACATGTCACATATTTTTTTATGGTACGATGAATAAAAGAAACTTTGTCATGATTTGCTAAGCGTTTATTTTTTAATGCACTCTCTTTTACCCCAAAAAATCCACTTTGCAGCTAATTGCTATAATATGAGAGAATTATTTCAAGCTTATTAAGATTTTTGTTGACGTCGGCTGGCACAAGTAAATTAACAATTAAGAAAAACCATTATGGCGGCAATCAAGTTAAAAGAAATGACTAGTTTTTATTTTATTCATCTACTCAATTCTAATGTTAACTGAAAATTTTCTTTATTCACTTATTAAGACATTCAAGCACTTTTTTTTAGGTAGGAGGTGTTTTTCCTCGTCCACAAACAAGTTGGCGTGAAAGGCATGAAAGTTTTGTCAGCGCTGTAAGCACCTCCAGACAGGTTGACTACAATACTCATAAAAACTCGGCCTCTCCTCCAATTCCGCGTACTTCTGTACCAAAAGGTTGGAATATACCACAAAAATAATTTTAAAGCATCTTGAACACATTTGTCCCCTACACAAGATGGTCAGGAAATCTATGTTGTAGTCCTATAGCAAAAAATTTGGCAATTGAAAAAATTTGAAAATTTTTTCAATGAAACAAAACGGACATTTAAACCTGCAGTTTTAATTCGCCATTTAATGCTGTAGCTTTCACTTGCATATACTTTGAACTTGAAAAAGATACTTCAGAGAAATAGCTGAGTGATACCTATTGAACACAGAACAACAATTTCAGTAGTGACACGCGATGATTTCGAAGATTTATTACGAAAACATTGCGATAAAGGAGTTCAAACTCAGAATCAGGAGAACCAACCAACAGATTTAGCAACACACGGTGCTTTTGCATTGATTTTTCCTTCGTTCTTTATAATTCAACCCAGCTTCTTAGTTAGTGAACTAATTTTCTCAGATAACTATTTGCACCAGCTAACCTACTGTAGGTGTAAGGAAGTTGGGATGAATTAATTTTTTTACTTATTTTTATAAAATGAAAAGAAATTTTAAGAGCGAACTGGAAAAATCTTTGCTAGTGCACTAAAATAGGAAGACCTGAACTAAACATTCTTTGAAATGACTTTATCTTTTACAGTAAAAATACACGGTTTTCAGTTCCCCTAATGAGTGTAATTTCTTTAAACGGTTAAACGATTACATTACCAACCACCATTTTGTTCATTCAACAACTTTTGTTTGCTCTAATTTTAGATTATGTACGATGCGACTACTGTGGCAGAAATTTCAATCAGCAAGCTGCAGAAAGGCACATACCATTTTGTCGTGATCAGCACTCCAAAAAGGGCCCTATACGAGTAACATCTCATAGCCGGCCTTTTTCAGTCAAACAAAACGGCACCAACGTAACTAATTTTTTAATCTATCACTGCAAAAGGAAGTAACTCTGCCACATCTCTTCTCAGTTTTTTCAGTTCATTTTGTTTATAAATTTTCAGATTAACGAAAGAAGCGCTACAGAAACTCGCCAAACAACACGTTCTCGGGCCGACAGCGCACAAAGATCCAGAAGCACACAGTCGAAGACACCAGCTACTGAAAACGCACCCCAGAACAAGGCCGAATACGATCGGCAATCAGTCGGTACCAGCCATCATAGCAGTCATTCTCAAAGTCGCACTTCAGCGGGACGGTAATTTGCTTACTGCATAATTCTAGTAACTGTCATTTGGTCTCCTACGCAGTAATTTCCAGACTCTTCTACAGCAGCTAAAGACAACCCCATTAAAGCAAATTCTTA